AATATGGAAGAAAATTACCGACATCGTCAAAAGTATGCCATACATCAACTGTAAATCACAGCTACTTTAAATTTGCACTTTATTAAACTAAAATTGAATGAGCTAAAAAACCGCAAAATATTAAGAGATAAAATTTAAAAAGAAAGTTCTTAATTTTTACGAAAGCTTGTCGATTTTTTTTTTTAATTTTGTTCAAAGATTAAACTTATTTTCATTTAGTGTTTGTTAAGGAATAAACTATATTTTTATTAACAAATAATTCAAATTAAAGTATAATAAAATAAATAGTCAAATCGAGTCAATATGTGAGTATCGTAAAGTTATGATATTTAAGAACATCTCTTTCTTAATTAACGATGACACTGTTTCTATATGAAGCTGATTTCAACATTTTGTTTTAATAAAATTCAGTATCGAACATATTCTTTCCAAACTTGCCTAGGAATGTGATACAATGGTTCGTTCAAAACCTTTTTTCAAAACTTATAAAGGCAAAAACGAGAAGGCGAAGACAAAAAGAGAATAAAAAAATTTCCCGCAGTGAATTTTCAGATTTTTAAAACGGTATAGTAATTTGATTTTTTAAATTTAAATAAAGCATGAAGACCCCATGGAATAAACGAGTAGATAAAAAATATATAACGGTAAAACTGGCACATACATAACTATTTGAAAGAATGCACTCAGGCGACGCCTCTAGCCATTGTGTGTCACAGATTTAAGTTGTCGATGGAACATTTTTTGTCATCCCCTCCCCCCTTCCCCTCCAAAGCCAAATCCTGGCTACGACACTGCTTATACATATATACCTTCTTTCTATACAAAAGCCGGTTGCAGGTACTTCAAGATCTGCAGGTTTTACAGGATTTACAGGAAAAGCTGTTTTCGTCATTAATAAACCGTATGTATTTAAAATGTCGTGGGATGGGAAGAGAATCCTGTAAATTCCTGCAAATCGTGAAGTACCTGGAAGAGGCTTAATATGTAGTGGTTGAACACTCTTATTATGCGCCATTTCTTCCATTGCCATAAAAACTAAGCTTTGGTGTGCCTGGAGTTATAGCAAGTATTTTTAGACACAATATTCCTTTTATTATTAGTTTTAAAATTAGTAGTTTGCGTATTTTCAGATGCCTGCAAAAAGGAGTTTGATATGGAGTCATTTCGAGAATTCTGGCTCGAAACGTGCTATGTGCAAGCATTGTTTAAAGCAAATAAGTTTCAACGGCGGGTCCATAGGAAATTTAAGCCGCCATATGAAACTTCGACATTCTATCATTCGCTGGCATGATACGACTCTTAATGGTAACAGCGAAGGAAACATACCAGAGGATCAATTAGAGCCGGGGAATCAATCACCGCAAAGTGAGCAGCAATTACAGGCGGAACAGCTGTTGCAGGTGAATAAACGGGTAATTACTAATTATCAAACAAAGTAGCGAACCACCGAAAAAGGGGAGAAAAAAAAATTAATTAGTTAAAATTGTCGCCCATCATGCTTTGCGTTTGGTTGAAGTGCCGGAAATTATTAAATTCGTTGCCATCTTGTAACAGTGCTCTGCAAGGCGACTTAATATCCACCTTATAAGAATTCGTCTTGTGCTCTTTTTTTTTAATTAGTACTTTCGAAAAAAAATCGGTCAGAAAATTTCATTACAAAAGTTTACTGCGATTAAGAATTCGAAATTAAAATTGAGCTACAGGGGCGGCTGCATTATGTCTGACCACACCTGACTGGCCATCCTCTACCAATACAAATTACATTGATTGAATTTTACAGCCTCATTTCATGAATAAAAAAAAATATTTCATTGCTTCAGATGCTTACATTTGTTGTAAAAAGTGACCATACAAAAATTTACCTTGATCAAGGATCGATTAGATGACACCAGAGGTCCTTTGAGTAGGGTTTGCAGCAAAAACGGTATATTAAAGGTAGCTATATATAAAAACGCCACTATAAAATTTTGAACCCCCTTTTTTGGGGGAACCGTTCGCTTGAAAGAATATAACTTTTTCTAATCTAGAAATGTTAACCCCATTATACAGGGGGCGTGGCGTCTGACATCTACATATATTTGTTAAAGTATGTATGTATGTATGTACATATGTATCAGGGTTGTTGCGAATATTCGCATTCGCATTCGCAACCGCTGAGCTTCCGCATTAATTTTAACATTCGCATTCGCTTTCGCATTTGCAAAAATCAATGCGGATCTTTTGTGAATGCGAATATTGAAGGGACCGAAAATTACAGTTACTTTTTTACGAGTTAAACTTGGCTAGTTATTTTTTATTCCGAAATAAAAGTACTTTCCGGATAATAAACAAACCGCTTATCCAAATTAAACCAGTTTGGTATCCAATGAAAGAGGACTTAAATAGCTTTAAAACTGAATTGTCTAATAGAGGAAAGCCAGACATTGAAAAATATTTTAATAAAAAATGTTAATTAATTACCATAGAACAAACATTAGGTCAGATATGTATTTACATGAATTTCTTTAGTATTAAGTTATAAAAAAATATAAATAGAGGTGGTTACCTTCATTCGTTATTTCTGTTTAAAAGCTATTTCAGTCCTCTTTCATATGAAACCAAATTTGTTAAATTAGGATAAGCGGTTTCTTTATTATCCGGTAAGTACTTTTATTTCGGAATAAAAATTATTAGACCAAATTTAACTCGGAAAAAAATAACTGTTATTTTCGGTCCCTGGAATATTGTGCAAGTTTCACAACGGTATTCTAAAAATATTTTTCTGAAATACATTTGCGTTTTTCTGAAAATCATTTGAACTTTTCTGAAATACAATTGTGTTTTTCTTACTTTCATTTGCATTTTTCTGATATACATTTGACCTTTTCTGAAATACATTTTCCCTTTTCTGAAATTCATTTGGCCTTTTCTGAAAGACATTTGTGTTTTTCTGAAATACTTTTGGGGAAAGGTGTAGTCGGAAAAATAATTGGTTTACCCGTAAATAAGTGCATACATATGTACCTTAATTCACAAAGCCCCTAACCAACACTTTTTTTATTTTACAGGAGAAGCAAAAAACATTATAAAAAGACCCAATAAACATTTAGGTTTGAGCTCAACTTGAGGTTAAGTTGAGAACTAAGGTATTTCTCAAATCTCCAATGTTGTTTCTCAACAGTACCTCAAGTGGAGGAGCATAGCGTTCTCAACCAAAAGGGCATTTTTTTTTTTATGAAAAAAGGACTGTTTCTCAACTTGAACTCTAATGTAATTCTCCAATTAAATACTGAAATTGAAATAGTAAAATACCTTATACGTTTTTGATTGAAACGACATATATAGATGAATTTAAATATTAATTTTTCATTTTATTACTCCTTTTGTATTATGTAGTTAATCAATATCGTCTTACAATAATTGACTTCACAGTATACAGTCCGACAGTAATTTTGCCAGAATCGCAAGAATATTTGAGGATACTTTGGAGATTATTTACCTTTCGTTGGCAGTTTTCCCCTTTATATAGCTTTAGTTTTTCACTTGATAATTAAAAAAATTCGTATCTCTATCACTTTTTACGTAGCTGCGCGTGGGTCAGAGATGAGTTGGAGAATGATGTTGGATATCAACTTGAGAATTATGAATTTCTCCAAGGTTGGAGAGATATTTTTTTGGTGTTTAAAAAGTGGCATGGTAACTCCGTTGTTTTTGGTGCGAATACTTAAAATTTTTTATTGAAGATGTAGTTTATACATCCTACCAAAATCTGTAAAAACGCAGTTTCGAAAAAAGTGTTGGTTAGGGCCATGTGTATAGACCGTATGGATATACCGTTTGGTTATAAATTTTCTTTGCGAACAAATATATCATCAAACAAAAGTATTCAGTAGTTTTACGATGCCACCGAGAATTGGTATACAAATATAGATTTTTATTATTCCAGAAACCACTGAAAATTGACGGGAAAGTAGCTTCATCTAGTCCCCCAGCAAGCAATAATCCATCACCCGCAATCGACGAAGACATGAACAGTATTTACGAGAAACAAATTGAGGTACCTAGTTTGTTGTTCGACCTGATTGTATGTAATAATTTCCGCTCATTTACAGTTTGTGGACGGTTATTTAACAGAAAGTTCTTTCATAAATGAGGAAATAAACAACCAAGATATTTTTGAGCCCAAATCTCCGAAAATGGCCTACCACCGAAGATCACGAAACCGAAAATTGGAAGATTTAAAAACCCGCATAGAAATACAACTTATGCGCGCGAAAACTACATATTTCACAAAGCATGCGGCAAAACTCGACATAGAATGTTCACTAATGTTATTACAAGTAAAAAAACTGGAGTTGGAACTAGAGAAATTGCGTAATGAAGCTCAGGAAAATCCATTAGCAAGTGAACAAATGGGGTTTGAATCCGTTCGTAATGTAGAACTTTAAAGTCGCAAAACAAAAAGTAAACGATTAGTAAGTTTAAATGTAAATAATTTCGCTGGAGATAGTCTTGCTGTATGTTCTTTATATAGAAAAATGAATTGTATATCGTGTGTTATTGATAAACTCAATAGCGGCTTAACGGATCTGCTTATTTCATTTTGTTTATTTCTGTATGTAGAAAGTTTGTAAGAAAAATTTGGGAAAATGGTGTTGCCAGATACCTGAAATATCATTGAAAAAAATTAAAATAAAATTAAATTTAAATAAGCCACAATAATACTAGTTCACTGAGAAAGTATACAAAAATTTAATAAAGAAAAAAATTTAAATAGGGTTACCACCATTCGAAGAGAAGTCCTTCTCTGCTTGGTCCATCCATCGCAGTTTGGGCTTTCCTCTTTCTCTCTTACCACCATCGAGACCTGCGTTGAATACTTTGAGAGCTGGAGCGTTTCTGTCCATTCGCTCGATATAACCAAGTCAGCGTAGCCGTTGTATTTTGGTTCGCTGCACCATGTCCATGTCGTTTTAAAGCTCATACACCTCACGTTCCATCGTTTGAGGTACTTGCCGCCGCCAATGTGTAAAGGCCCATAAATCTTTCACAGAATATTTTTCTCGAAAAATCCAAGACCCGCCTCATCAGATGTTTTAATTTTTCATGCGTCCGCTTGTGATTTTTGCACGATGAGAGGACTTTACTCCTCAATTGCCTACTCAGTCCAAAGTAGCACTTGTTGGCAAGAGTGATTCTCCGCTGAAATTATTATTGGTGTTAATGCTGATTCTTAAATAAACGAAGTCCTCTACTTTTTCAAACTTTTAACTGTCAACAATCAGGTTGGTGCCAAGACGATTATGCTCTGGCTATTTGTGGCATGACTGCTAATACTTCGGCTGCGTTTCTTTATACATTCCGGATAATCCCATTTCACAGCCGGAATAAACAGAATGCGTTTGAAATATACGTTAACATATCATCAGGAACGTTCTAAAGAATAAGTAAACAAAAAAGTTTATTCCAAACGTTCGGAATGAATAAAGAAATGCAGCCTTCGTTTTGTCCTTGTTCATCTCCAGACCCTCCCGATTTGCTTCTCTATCTAATTCCGAGTAGGCAGAAGAGACGTAGGCCTTGTGTTTACCTTAGCTCTTATTATCTTCTTCAACATCATGTTAAAGATATCACTCGAAAGGGAGTCACCTTGTCTGGAACCTTGTTTGGTATGAAACGGCTGGATGTCTTTCCCAATTCTGACGGGGCTGGTGGTATTGCTCGACGTCATTTTACACTGCCATATCAGTTTCGCGGCAATACGAAATTAAGACATTGTGGCATAAAGACAACTTCTTTTCGTGATGTCGAAAGCGGCTTTGAATAGACAAATAGAAGGTGTGTGTGTCGAGCCTATTATCACGGATCTTTTCCATGATCTACAAAACTGCATACTCAGAATCTAAAAAAAAACTCGAAATTTTTACGAAAATTTGTTGAATTCTTTTTTATTAGGGAGTGCCATTCGTTTTTTTTTGTAGTTAATAGAATGGTACAATACAGCAATCTGCTATTGAAAAATTTCAACAAATTATTTTTCGTGATTGGGATAAAGAAAAATATTTGGGTATTCACACAATTGGGATACGATTTGCACCAAATTTCCCCAAATACCCAATCGTGTGACACTGCCTTTAAACTTGTATTTATACGGGTGTTGTTAAAGAATGAACTATAAAAAACTAACCAAAATTAAATAACAACAAAAATAATATTTTGAAACTGGTCAAAATTTGGTGCGGCTACATTTTTTTCGACTACTGTAAATAAGTTGACTATGATTACAATTCCACTAATAGGTTTGTATAGTAACTTCTCCAGTAAAACATTGCAGCGAGAGCGTAAAAGCAAAATAGAGCGTAAAATTGAGAAGAAGAGAAAACTAGCAGAAAAAGTTAATGAACATAAAACTAGCAAAAACTTGCAAGTGAACAGTCGTTACACTGTTTTGACATTCTGCTGTAAACATTTTACTATTTATAAATCAGTCTTAAACTCTTTGCTTTACACACAAGCACTTACACAGTCACAATATTTTGATTTAAACTCCTTTTACTTTTGTTTGTGCTAAACCAATTCAACAAATGGCGGCTTTTGACATTTATTCTTCTGCTAGTAAAAATTTCACTAGCAAGAATTTGCAGCTCTCCCGTGTTGTTACGCTCTCGATTCAGTGCTCTCTTGCAAATTTTTTGGGTTATCATACGCTTTTCCAGTAAAAATTTGCAGGTTCCAGTACAAATTAGTACTGACTATTGGTTACTATACAAACCTAATATATGACTTACAAACAGTGTGCGAACCTCTACCATACATGTGGTAGATCTACCACTTATTTAAAAAAAAATTTGGTTTCTAACCACATTTACCACACAAGGCTTTAAATATACCACATTTTTACACAGAACATTTGTTTAAATTTTCACATAACTAAAATTCCAACTCAATTCTAATAAGAAATATAAAAGTTAATCAATAAATTTTTAAAAAGGTACATCATAAATTGGGCTTTAATATATCTGTACCTTAACTTTTTAATATTTTAAAAATCCGCATATTTATATTTGCTAAAGTATTATGCGACAAAAAAGAGTTCTTTGTTCTATCCTATATTGTAATACATACACAAAAATATAAGCTTTTTTTAAACGGTCGTATTCTTTATAAACTCAATAAAATGAGACATTTTAAGTCTGGTAAAACATGCACAAATAATTCATTATTAATTACATATCATGTGTATGCGATATACATACATTTCGCACACCGTCTTCAAAAGAGGCACACCTAAAAAAATANCGCACAAATAATACATACATTTCGCACACCGTCTTCAAAAGAGGCACACCTAAAAAAATATTGGTAGATTTTTTTGCATAAATCAATTCGTAGGATTTTTCTCAAATTAATGAAAATATTTTTTTCTTCGTGAATATATTCTCTAACTAGAAAACTAATGCAATACTTGTTTTGTGTATCAATTGCGTTGAATCTTACGATCCGAAAGCACTTATACTATTTCCCGATCTAATTTTTGAATTCTATGAGCTATGAATTGGAAAATCTACCACATCTTGCTCAAATCTGCCACATTTTTTTGTCGATTCTACCATACCAAAATAAAAAGGGGTCAGGGGTTACCACTGAAAAATTGTCTTTCCTGCCAAGAGCTGGTTCATAAACCTATCAAAATGGCTTCTTTCTTACAATTTATACATTTATTTTTGCTGGTTTTTATGCTTAAAATAAGACTTCCAGGTTAACAAAAATATCACAATTATAGCTATTATATATGTACATATAGCACACAAAAAAGTAGTGTGGCAAAAGATTCGCATAGTTTATAGTTTTAATAAAGCCTTCGGAGTGAATGACGTGAAAAATAGTATCACAAAATAAAATTCCTATGTACGTACATCGCTCATTTGTATACAAACTTAATTATGTAGTATATATACATAATTAAGGTAAAAATATACCTTACGGTTAGGCTTGCCAAATGTCCGGTTCTAGGAGCCTCCGGGCTTGGTGAAAAATCTGCGCGCTCCGGGTTGCCATTAGTTTCTTCGAGTTGCGGTTAAAATCTTCTCCGATTCTCCGCGTTACTGGAAATATGACTAACAATAAGTTGTTTTCTTTAAAATTTTCGTGTATGATTTCATTTGGAGGGAAAGTTGCAAATTCGTGCCAGCAAGAAGATTTTAAAGAAGATTTTTCATTAAAAAAGGCTCAGAATGCAATTGAAAAGTACAGTTTCAAGCTTTTTGTTAATTGCAGTCAAAACGGCATTTTACAAAAACCATAATTCAAAATTCATAAACAAGTTCTTACTATCAATTCGATATTTCAAATGTTTCGGGATAATGCAAATAAATCCGGGGATATTCGGGACCTAAAAAACACCGGGATCCCGCGATTGGCAATCCCTAATACATACATCTAATTACTAAACTTCTGTAATTCAGTATCAATATTAAAGCATACATTTAGGAGGCATTTCCGGCCCAACCATGTACATGTATGGCATTGGTCGGGTATAATTGGAGCACGGTTGCCATATCATCAAAATTTTGTGTGCAATATACAAGTAAAAGGCCAAAAAAAACAATATAATGTACCATTTTTTGCCGTCCAACATAAATATATACAGTGACACAAACAAGTGACCACGTGTTGATTTTTTTTTTTGATATTCGTATTGCTTTTCGAACAAATTTTTTTTTTGTTATTTTTTTGTAAAAATGCTGTCCATGCTTTGACCAAAACTGTTTCAAATTTTGTACAAAGCTTAGGAAAATTCGACAAACTTTCATCAAAATTTTAATTTTTAATCTGAATCTTTGCTACAACATACTATTTTAGCCTACATAGTGAAGTTCAACCGCCTACAAAATCGCGTTGATTTTTGAAATATTTTTTTTTGTGGCGGATTTTTGTACTTTTTCCCATACAGGCATGAATTTCTTATGAAATAAAATGCGGGAGACCGTAAGCAAAAAAAATTTCAAAAAATCAGCACCAAATTTGTAAATTTCACTTGTTATTTAAAAAAAAAATACCGCAAAAGCAGCCTCCAAACAAAAACTCCCAAAAATCAACATGATTTTTTAGACGGTTGNGTTTTTGTAAATTTCACTTGTTATTTAAAAAAAAAATACCGCAAAAGCAGCCTCCAAACAAAAACTCCCAAAAATCAACATGATTTTTTAGACGGTTGAAACTTGCACTCGCAAAACGAAATAAGAAAATAGGAGATCATTTTCGCCAATTCGTTTTGTTGACATCCTAGAATTACGCCACTTCGTCTTGGATGATATTTTCCTGTACTAGTGTAGAACCTTGTATTGATGCGTCTTGCTATTACCTATTCAATATGCCTTGGTCCCATGCCCATTTATAAACTATACGAAAGTTTACAATACCTTGTGAATACCCATGAACCAATTAGAATAGATCTGACGGTTGACAAGCAGCCATTTGCAATAGCGTTTGAGAAAAAAGTATGTGACTTTCGTAATTTTGAAGTTTGCTGTTTCTGTTTTGTTGTTTTCATTTAATTCTTTGTATTTTGGATTTGGTTTATCTCAGCGATTTTAAAGCGATTTTTCAAAAAAATTTCTGTTCAAATATAATTGAAATGAAGTGCGCGGTAATCGGTTGCAAACACATGTACAAAAATAATAAATTGGTTAGCACAAGCATGCGCTCAAAAATTGCTTTAATATTTTTCTTTATACTTCCTCCTCATATTCTTTGTTTACTTATGGTCCATTTCAAAGAAAACAACATGGCGCCGAAATAACAAACGTCAGACAGAAAATTACTTTTTTCTTTTGCTTCATCTTTTAAGATCTTGTGTAGTAGGATCATGGTGAANGTCCAAACTAATAAATTGGTTAGCACAAGCATGCGCTCAAAAATTGCTTTAATATTTTTGTTTATACTTCCTCCTCATATTCTTTGTTTACTTATGGTCCATTTCAAAGAAAACAACATGGCGCCGAAATAACAAACGTCAGACAGAAAATTACTTTTTTCTTTTGCTTCATCTTTTAAGATCTTGTGTAGTAGGATCATGGTGAACACCCTCATTATAATTACCAATGCAGCCCTGGATAAATAAGCAGAAAGCAGAGTTGCCAGTGACGAAAAAAAATCTGCATTCCACTTATAAAAAATATCTCAAATTTGGAATATACTTACCAATAACTTTTTTTAGTTACCAATTTTAAAATTGTCTATTTATTAAGGAACTTTTATTTAACTAATAACATGGTATTTGGGATCATATTAATGGCATCTTCTCGGTTTTCTTCAACTAAAGCG